GGCAGAGATTCGAAACCCGTTGGAAGTATACTTTGTGACCAGGTACAAGCCGAACCTTGAGCGAGGATTAATCTCACCCTCCGAGTGTGGGAACACCTAGTGGTATTTACCCAAAAATAAAAAAAACATATAGACTCAAACATGGAAAGATTATGCAACTTGAATAACATTTATGTATTTGTTGTTATTCTACGTAATGTGCTCACAATACTGATTTTTGAGTTTAATCATCTTCATTCATTCATTGTTTAAAAATAATAATAATAATAACTGACTATTTTTATTGCTTTTATTGTATTTAACAATGGATTAACATATTGCACATAGGTCATGGATGTGGGTATTATTTAAAGGTGAGTGATCACTTTACGCAATTATACCCTTACAGGTATCATGTCCCAAAGAACACAATTGTTAGCGAGAGGTGTGTGGTACTAGGTAATTGTTGTGGGTGCCACTTTAGAGACTCATGTTGTTCCAGTTATGGCGAAAGCGATGAATGTGCAGTTCTCATGAATTCTTTATCCGAGTCGCGAGACCCTTATACTGGTTCTTGTTCTTTCCATTGAAATAGTAGTAGAGAATGGAGAGTTAATGGTACTATAAAAGTTAAAGCAAAGATTAAATGTTAATTCCAATTTCAACTAATTTTTATTTTAAATGTTTTTAAATAATTGTAATCCTCGTAGACTTGTAGAGTAACTCACTTTATGAATAGATCTCCTGCAATATTTAATTTGACTCCTACATGTGACCCTGTATCCCTATGTTGAATGAGATTGATTGCATACAATAAAAGAAAAAGAAAAAAGAAAAAAGAAAAAATGTTTTTTTATGTCCAATGCCACGCATCCTATCATCACTATCCACTGCAGACGCATTGCTGACGTGCCTAGCATGAATTCCGATATCCTGCTTAAACAAATATAAAAATTAGCCACCAAAAACCCAAGAAGAATTGGCCATTAAGATTAAGATGGTCATAAATCACAGATGCAACAACATTGTGAATTTGTCACACATTTATGAAAGAATCGGCAACGTTCTTTCTTTCTAGTTTCTACTTTAAAATATAAAAGGAAAGAAGAAAAAAAAAAAGATACTAAAAATCGGATAGAAAAATGTAACTTCCAATTGTCTGGGAATTGCTTAATTAACTCATTACATAAATGGCTTTGAACCTGCTGAATCATTGGGTAAAAGGTTCTTAAGTTAATATAGAATCCATTCAAATTCTTAAGAAAACTTGCCTTTTCAATTATATTTGGATAAACATTTTCTTCATATATAAGCACCAATATCATTATGGAGTTCACAATTTTGTGTTTAAGACATACCAACCAAAACTCCAAAACTTAAACAAATAACAGGCGATCCCAGCAGTGAGGATCCGCCTGTATCCGAAAGATAAGGTTTTGGCTGCTGGACCTGCTGTACTTGAGAAGGTCCAAGAGTTGGCAAAAGAAAATGGATCTTCCCAGGAGCAAGTTCCAAGTACAAAATTTTCATAAAAAAAAGAATTCAAGCGCAAAATGGCATTGATTATGCCTTGAAAATGCGGCTGGTTGACTGTAATCCAGTCATGCTTTTCATGAAAAGAACCCCTGAGTACGCCAAATGTAATTTAGCCTAATGTTTGTTGACATGTTGAAGGAAGAGAAGGTCGAATTTGGAAGTTTCGATCTTCTTATGGACAATGAAGTCGTGGCGGGGATACAGAAGAATTCAAACTGGCCAATGTTACCGCAACTTTACTTTGAAGGGAAGGCTCGTGGTTTGTGTGACATAAGAACTTAAATGCGTGGTTGTCGTGAATAAGAGGAAGTTTCCAGAGGCTATGAAATCAACTCACAGAATAGACCTTGTTACAGTATACATGTCATTTAAATTTAAACTATAATAAGATCTAGTTTTTCGTCCAGCATGTCGTAGTAAATGCCACTATTGTATTTACTGTCCTTGTCCATCTTATTTGAGGAGATTGTTGTCCAGCCTGCAGGTTAATTTGTATCGGAAATCTGAAGTATCTTATGAGAGAAAGTGCATAAACTCATCTGAAGGGCATGTTTCTTTCATCACTTTTGCTATAGTTCCAAGTGTAATGTATTTATGTTTCTTATTATGAAGAGGGCAAAGGGAAAGACGAAGGTGTTTGGGAAATATTCTACTGTTAAGAAATGGGGTTAAGTTGATTTTAACTACTTCTTGACGGGTTCTTGGATTTAAAAATTTTATTTTGGAAATAGGTTTATGTCAAATGTTAAGAATTTCTTGATGGGTAGATGGTAATGTTAGTTTCACTCGTTGATGATGGATATTTCATTATTGGATACGTGGGTGTGCAAATTAGAAGTAGCTTTTGATGATATGCATCTGAATTTGGAGAGTGAACATTTCGACTATTATCCCTTTCTGTTCATATTTAACGTAAATTTGTAAATCAATTAAGAGAGCCCATTACCATGGTCGGTCCAATGAATTGGAGTCCTTGGGAGGGTACAAAATATATTGTAGGGTAAACACCAAAATCTGTGTTATATTTTGTCTATATTCGGAGCCAATCCTAATTTCATCATTAGCATCTTTCGTTGTCTGAAATTAAAAGTGAGACAGTGATAATATGCGCCAGTATAAAAAAAGCACAAGAAACTAAGATTGTTTAATCTGCAGCACAGGTACAACGGTGTCCATAATTATATATAGCATCTTTCGTTGTCTGAAATTTTTGAGATACAAGTGGCCCAATGATGAAACTAGGACTGGCTTGGAAATACAGGGGAAATGTGGAAGATGACCAAAAACAATACAGTTTGGTGTTTTCTTCCCTCAATATATTTTCCACCCTCTCAAGGACTTCACTTCATTGGACCGAGACCGACCATGGTAATGGGTTCTCTCAGTTGATTTACAAATTGAGGTTAAATATGAACAGAGAGGGAATACAATTAAAATGTTAACTCTCCAAAATGTAACAGAAGGTTGGTTGTTAAGGGGGTTAAATATGAACAGAGAGGGAATACAATGCATTGTTCCAATAACAAAAGCTTGAAGAATGAAATGCATAAACATCTGGACAAAAATGGAGAATTCCAAGTAACCTGTTTTGGCCATCTTTATAAAGCAAACTTGTCCCATAGCCTGCTTATTAATATGTTGGGTTACGCCCGCTTGTCTCTATGTTTTTATGCGTCTGAATGTAAATGAGTGAAAAATAAGATATTGAGTTGTCTCATGCGCCTGATGGTTTTCTCCATTACTTGATGCTTCTTGGCGCATAATCAGCTCAAAGTGTCATCATGTTCTCTGTATGCTGCCTCATTCTTTCGCGATAGTGATATATTTTTCTTGCCAGATAATACGTCCCACTTAGAAGGTTCAAAACCATCTTCATCAAATGCAAAAGGATCTTGACTTTCCTGTGAAAGATCAATTTTTGAGTCTTCCGAAATATAGGATCTTTGACTGACACCAGAACCTTTCCTGGAATCCTCACAGCTAAATGCAAAAGGATCTTGACTCTCTTCTGAAAGATCGATTTTGGAGTCTTCAGAAATATAGGATCTCTGACTGAGACCAGCATCCTTCCTGGAAGCACAGCTAAATGTACAGGTCCCACCATTTAACTGGCTTGATGTACCACTGGATGAACCATATCTGGAAGAATTGAGTCTCGTCTTCACTGAATAAGTATCAGTCATTGAGGTGCTGGTAGTTTCCGAACTGGATATAGAATATATGGAATAAGCCGAGGGCAAAAATGGGCTGCTCTGACATATATGTGAGCTCTTCTCAGAAGCATTTTTACTCCCATTAGAAAGATTAAAAGACTTTTCGTCATTGGAGGAAGAAGAGAAATTTTTATTCAGATAAAGACCTACGAAACAATGTCATTAATTATTAGAAACCAAAAAGCGTAAGAATCATAAGTAACTCCAGAGATAATAAGTTACCTGATAGAATATTGATGTCACTTATAACAAGTTCTGTAAAAGACATGGGATTTCCTGCAGGATCCGAGTTTCGTTTCATTCCTAGCTAATAGCTCTGTTAAGAAAGCATGTATGTGAATATTTATTTCTCCTTTCAATAATTATTAATTGCCCAACATCATAATGCAGTATCGGTAAGAGTTTGTATACAGTATGAATTTTGCAAACTAAAGAGACAGAAAAATAGTTCATTTTATATGAGAGAGAGAGAGAGAGAGAGAGTGTGTGTGTGTTTGAGACCCTCAATCACATCTAAACATACCTGATTCTTTTTACTCAGGAACGTGGCATTTTCCATAATCTTCAAACATTTCAAAAGCAGAACCAGGCAATGCACCATGTTGATTTCCTTTGCCCATGCCGAAGGCGAGCTATCTTTTAACCAACCCTGCATATTAATTACATGCATTTTTATAAAATATATACATTTTCCCAACTAATAATTGAGTACCATAAACCCCAGAATTTGAATGAAAAACCAAGAGAGGATATACAGGGGAATACTTATTTAATTACTACTGTGTTTTGTTATTTACTTATCCCGACTCAAAATGTATGATGCTACTGTGTAATTCACGCGCCAACGGTAAAAAAAATTTGAGATTATGTTTTATTTTGATTGACTCACTTTTCAACTGCTGCAGTTTCATCTTTCCAAAATCTTTTCATTGCCATATATAGATACTAACTTTGTACTCGTTAATACCTTTTTTCTTCAGTTGAATCATATCCCTAACCAGTTTCTCTGCTTATTCAGTTAGAAGTAGTTAGTTTCCCTGTGTTCTAATTCATGGATATAACATTTTCTCTGCTTATTCAGTTAGAAGTAGTTAGTTTCCCTGTGTTCTAATTCATGGATATAACATTGTATTTGTTGTAGACATCTAACCCTGAAATTTGGTAACATGTGTTCATTGTTTTACTCCCAAATCATTGGTAAAGGTGTTTTTTCTTTGGACAAAATTTTCTTTTAATCTACCTATCAACTTGTTTTTACATATTTATAAAGGTATGTCTTCTTTTCCTTACTGCCTGACTTGTTCAAGTTGGTTTCTTCAGCTACCACTTGATGGCGTCACATCTATAGTTGATGGTTTGAAGATATTGTACGGAGAAACACTAAAGCCATTGGAACTTACATATAATTTCAATGATTTTGTATCTCCATCATTGGTGAGTGTATTCCCATATGTTTTGATGTATTTAGTAGGATATATATGATTTAGTTAGTTCTCCTTATTATCCTTCTAACTGCCTTCTTAGCATATTGTCTTGTTTAGGTAGAACATTTGCTAAATAATGGCTGATTTATTCCTTTGCAGACCGATGGCGATTTTGATGCTAAGCCGATGGTCTTGCTCTTGGGTCAGTATTCGACCGGAAAAACTACATTCATTAAACATTTGCTAAATGTAGCTATCCAGGTTGGTTAAGTTTTCTCTTTTATTTTATTTTCAAATGATTAATGGACAACCATACCATACGGCTTACATTTACTTTGAACAGGAGCTCATATTGGACTAGAACCTGCAAATGACAGATTTGTGGTTGTGATGGTATAGTTTCTTATAACCATGCTTCCTTTCTAAAAACTAATTTAGTTTATCATTGTTTCTTTGTAGTCTGAGGCTTATTGTGTGTCACATAGTCTTTGTAATTCTAAACCTTACTCAAATTTTTGTACCTAGTCCGGACCTGATGCAAGGAGCATACCTGGAAATACCATAGCTGTGAATGCAGACCTTCTTTTCAGTGGTCTAGCAAGTTTTGGAGGCTCATTTCTGTCAAAATTTGAGTGTTCTCAAATGCCTCATCCGGTGAGTTTTGAAATTTCGATAACTGTTTGTTTTAATAACATTTTCATCAGTGTGTTGATCTTTCCTTTCGACGATTATAGTTGCTAGGTGAAATTACATTTATGTCAAAATTCTAGTTGCTAGATGAAAATGTTTCCTTTTGATGATTATAGTTGCTAGATAAAATTACATTTATGTCTCAAAATTATATCCGCCACATCCAGTGAATTTTGAAATTTCAATAACCATTTGTTTGTATAACATTTTCATCAGTTTGCTAATCTTTCCTTCTGGTGATTATAGTTGCTAGATGAAATTACGTTGGTGGATACTCCTAGAGTTCTATCCGGAGAAAACCAACGAGCACAAAGGGGCTATGATTTCTTTGGTGCCATATCGTGGTTTGCTGCAAGATCTGATCTCATTCTTCTTCTATTTGACCCTTATAAGCTTGATTTCAACTATGAGTTTAAGCGTGCAATTGCATGTCTACGGGGTCATGATGACAAAATCCGAGTGATCCTAAACAAAGCCGATCAAGTTAATACTAAACAAGTGAGATGCACTTCCAGTTTATATATTGTTTTGGCTTCCTGCATTTTACTTTTTGTTGATAACACATCAAGAATACAAAGCCTACCCAACATAAACAAGCACCACCTCTTGGGTATTCAAAACCTTTGTGAGTGACCACATCAGTGACCATAAACTCTCATCAACTACAATGCATAACCAAAGAAGTAATAAGCTGAAAGTGTCATCAACAAAAAGTAAAATGCAGGAAGCCAAAACAATATATAAACTGGAAGTGCATCTCACTTGTTCAGTATTAACTTGATCCGCTTTGTTTAGGATCACCCGGATCTTGGCATCATGACCCCGTAGACATGCAATTGCACGCTTAAACTCATAGCTGAAATCAAGCTTATAAGGGTCGAATAGAAGAAGAATGAGATCAAATCTTGCAGCAAACCACGATATGGCACCAAAGAAATCATAGCCCCTTTGTGCTCATTGGTTTTCTCCGAATAGAACTCCAGGAGTATCCACCAACGTAATTTCATTTAGCAACTATAATCACCAAAAGGAAAGATCAGCACACCGATGAAAATGTTATACAAACAAATGGTTATTGAAATTTCATTGAATGTGGCGGATATAATTTTGAGACATAAATGTAATTTCATCTGGCAGCGTTTTTAACAGCATAAAGGAGGAGCCCAAAACTAGAATTTCGGGACGGCATGCAGTTTTCGGCCCGTCATTGGACAAGGGAGGAGCCCAAAACTAGAATGAATGCGATGAAATGTGAGTGTACCAAATCCCTTGTTTATTTAATTATTTCTTCTGGGCCGGCAAACATCCCAAGTGTTTTTTTCTTTTTGTCGAATCCCCATTCTTATCCTACTAACCAAAAACGATAAAAAAGGAGTTTGTCCTGTTTAAATCTTCTTTTGGTTAAGACTATCATTATCCTCCGAACTTGAACTGAACTTGAGCTCTATCTTGTCTGAAATGGAGGAAATTCAGCACAAGTACATAACCGTACAAGGCCTAAAGCTCCACGTAGCCGACATCGGAACAGGTCAGAAACCATCCATCAACGTACTTTGTCCTTACGGTACACCGTATTCATTCTTCTTCAACTGATCGATCGAACGTCGCCGTCGTTGGACTTGGTGGTGCTTTCTCTCTTTTGTGTTACAGGTTCCAACGTGGTCGTGTTCCTGCACGGCTTCCCGGAGATTTGGTACTCGTGGCGGCACCAGATGATTGCTCTGGCCCGCGCCGGCTTCCGGGCCATCGCGCCCGACTACCGTGGGTACGGACTCTCCGACCCGCCTCCCCAACCCGATAAGACCTCCTACCGTGACCTTGACAGTGACCTCCTTGGAATTCTTGATTCCCTTGATATTCTTAAGGTACCAACTTCATTCTCTCTCTCTCTCTTTTACATTTTGCATATATATTGGTTGGGATCTCTTATTCTTTTTAATATTGCGTAAATATATCAATCAAATTATGCACTGAGCATAAGATAATTGATTGCCTGTTCAGATGCAATGTAACACTTCGGTCTGCTCACTCATAAAATTTACTCAGGTTTTTCTCATCGCAAAAGATTTTGGAGCTCGGCCAGCATATACATTTGCTCTTCTACACCCCGAGAGGGTCTTGGGAGTTGTGACAATGGGAGTGCCGTACATGCCGCCAGGCCCTCGTGCATTCGAGAAACTCCTCCCTGAAGGTTTCTACATTTCAAGATGGCAGGTGTTGTGTGCATTTAGTTGGTCTTGGTTATCTGTTCAGTGTCTGCACATGCACGACTTGCTAGAGAGTTTGCAACTAACTGTTACCTCTATTGTAGGAGCCTGGCAGGGCAGAGGCTGATTTTGGGCGACTTGATGCGAAAACAGTTGTCCGGAATGTTTACATCCTGTTCTCCAGAAGTGAAATACCAATAGCTGCAGAAAACCAGGAGATCATGGACTTGGTGGATCCATCTACCCCTCTTCCCCCTTGGTTCACGGAGGAAGATCTTGCAGCATATGGAGCTTTGTATGAGAAATCGGGCTTTCAAACTGCACTGCAAGTTCCATATAGGTAATGCAATTGATCATAGATCCACTTATGAGTGACCAAAGGGCTCTTCAAAGTAGTTTATTTATGCTAATTTGACCGAGTTGTAAGTACATACTTGTTATTGACAGGGCACTTAGAGAAGACCCCGGCATAACGGATCCAATTGTTAAAGCTCCGGCGCTTTTCGTAATGGGAGGCAAGGATTATGTGTACAAGTTTCCCGGGATGGAGGATTATATAAACACTGGAAAGGTGAAACAATTCGTCCCCAAGTTGGAGATTGTATTTCTGCCTGAAGGAACGCATTTCGTGCAAGAACAGTCACCAGAAGAGGTTAATCAGCTGATCATCACCTTCCTTGGAAAGCACATTTGATTGGCAAAGAATAAGTATTATCCATGGCTTTGCAGAGGTCTATGTGAAACCTTGGGAAAATGATGCAATTGGGTGTAGAATCTTATACATAAAACAAACTTTGGAATTTGTTGTGGCATGTAATGTTTGAATGTTTATCAAATCCTTACAATAAGGCAAATGCCATGATACTCATTGTTCCAGTTTTCTGTTGTTTTGTGATCACTGTGTGTGAGTTTAAGAGCCTATAATTTGCTTTCGAAAAATATTTAGATTGGCCGATGAGAGAATTCCCGCCTTTTAAGAAAATGCTAATCACATGGACTATGGACGGAAGTAAGACATTTTCATTAAGCTATCATATTCGTATACAAGTATGAATCTTCCCTGCTCTAGTATGGTGAAAAACTAGAAAGATACAAAAGAACAATAGCATAAAGGAGGGACCAAAAAGAAGAACAAATACAAGCAAACAAGCCTACAGTCAGTTCGATAGTTTGCAGCTGAAATCGCAACTTTATGAGTGTCATGGCGTTGGCTAAACAACAATCAATCTGAAAGGAAAGCCGAATCTGTACAGGATTTCCATTTCCAAAGCTCCTCTCATGGGTGTATAAAATTTTGATATGTTAACCTCATGCTTCCTCTATATCAATCAAGGGTGTTTGATCAGTAAGATGTCTATTACTCTGATCTGATGGTCAAGTTCAATGCTTCAAGTATTCTCACTTCTCTCACTTTGGTTCAGAACTTCATCCTCAGGCTTTGATGTCAACTTCAAACTGCCTGCACAGAAAGTTAGAGGTTTGATACATAAGGTACCATCAAGGGGTAGAGTAATTCAATCTTTTTCTGTCTGCCATTAAAATGATGCAAGTGCAAAAAAGCATGTGGCAGAAGCACAAAACAAGCAAAACTGGTGACAGAACCGACAAATGTTCAACGCAACAACAAATGAACTAACAACCTTAGAAGGAATCAAGATGGTACCTCTCCCAGCTCTAGTCTTGTGCCCATGTCTCTCAAAGCGTGCTGCTTCTTCTAGCTTTTTACAAGGCTCACAAATGCACAGGCGAATCACCTCGGCCCTGTAAAAAACATTCTTTGCTGGGTGCAGCTGTTGCAAAACAAGCCCCCACACCTCCGGCAATGATGCTGAAATTCCACATTGCATATAATCAAGAATCAGAAAAAGACCCAGAGACTAGAAAGAAATATCACATTCAATCCTCGAATAACCTGCAAATAAGCTCAAGTTGGATAACAAACCCTTTATATAATTAGAACCTATTTCTTAGCACAACACAAACTATAAATCCCCAATAAATTCTTAAACTAAATAAGCATGGACCTGTACAAAATAAACAATCTACGGTTTCCACAAGGTTCAAAATGGAAAGCCACGAAGCGCAGTACTGAAATCACGGTTGAGTTCGCATATAAAATTAAAAAAGCAGAGATTTTGAGGCATGGGTAATGAAGAAACAAAAGAACTTGTCAAGAACTCATAGATATTGGATCGGAGATGGAGGGAAGGAGGAAAAATGAACCTGGCGATTGATGAAGGTGAACTGAGAAGTACATTCCTGACAGTGTGAGGCGTCAACCAACCAAGTACTCCCTCTCAATGATGGCTTTGCCGGCAACCCGATCTTCTCCAATATCTTTTTGCTTTACTTCACCGAATCAATCAAATCAAATCCAAGCCAAAAGCTTTATATAAAAAACTAAAGAATAAAACGAATTTCCCCTTCGGATCTTATGCTTTCGTACTTCAAAAAATTCATAATTCGATGGGTATGATGCATCCAGAAGAAGGGAAGGAAAGCCGGAAAGGGAAAGAAAGTTGTGACTTTTATCTGTGATTGATGACGACGACGAATTCATTTTGGGTTTGGGTTAGAAGACGCATCAAAACAACGTCGTTCGACTGTTTGATGCCGTCGACAAACCAACGACTAGTTCGGTGGGAGTCGGACAAGTTTAAGTTTCCAACGATACGGAGGGAAATTTTTTATTTTTTATTTTTTTAAAAAGGGCCCCTCTAGCGCCTAGGCGGCCGCCTAGCGCCGAGGCCCATTTTTCAAAATTTAACCTTACAACGTCGGCAAGAGAGTCAGTGCAGGTATATAATAACGCCAGGCCCTAATCTTAGAGGTCTAAGTGGGCCTTCACTTGGGGTCCTTTTTAAACTTGTTTCAGCTAGATTTTGTTGGATCCTTCATTTGGGCTGTTCTTTAATTCTGAGGAACCAAAGCCCAGAAATGTATAATGAATTGGACTTAAGTCCACATTTGTTGTAGTGGTTTCAATTAGGCATGGGCATGGTGCGAAATGGCTCGATATGGTTCCCTCCATTATAAAAATCGAAAATCTAACCAAATAAAATAATTAGTTCTATGGTCCAATCGGTTCTATTCAATTTAGAGTCATTCCTATTTTGTAACTATTAGATTAGGCTAACCAATTTGATCCAACAGTTAAAAAATAGGGTCTCACCTAAGGGTCATATATAAGGCCCTCATTATAGAATTCTTGATTCGATTTAAGCTTTAAACCATTGTTTAGTTAAAAATTTAATAAAAACAAATTAGAAAATGACAAGTGGCTAGTTTGAAATTTTTCTCTATAAATAGGCTATATATGGATATTTGTATAATATGTCACGCTAAAATAGACTCATTTGTCAAACCTATTTTTCTCTTGGTCAAACTCAATTTTTTGGTTTAGACTTTAGAATTGATGATGGTGTAGCATCCTATATTCTTAAGACCTGGAAGCACAAATGACAATAATGGCCTGCCCTAATGTTTTTGTAAATTAGTAGGGTGAAAACGGCAATGCTATTGCCACCATGTCATACGCATTATTCCATATTTTCTGATTCTAATTGATCATTGTTTGAGTTTAAGACCCTCTAGTTAGTTGCTTGTGGAAAAATATTTAGCTCATGATATGCTAATGCTGTGGAGGAGGTTCTGAAGATGGCAATAAAAATGTAGCGTCCACACCACATTGATCAGAAACCATGAAAGAAACTGTGGAAGAATTGCTGACATTTAAAAAAGAGTAGAAGAGTTACAAAAATTGCTAATCACACACATGGACCACCGACGAAAGTAAGACATTTTCATTAAGCTATCATATTTCGTATACAAGTATGTCTCTCTTGCCTGCTCCAGTATGGTGAAATACTAAAAAGATTCAAAAGAATAATAGCATAAAGGCGGGACTAAAAAGAAGAAAAAATACAAGCAAACAAGCCTGCAGTCAGATCGATTCGATACAGTGTGCATGCAGCTGAAATCGCAACTTTATGAGTGTCATGGCGTTGGGTAAACAATTTATCTGGAAGGAAAGCCAAATCTGTACAGGATTTCCATCTCTGAAAGGAAGCTCCTCTCATCGTATCCTACATGACTCAATTACTTCGCTCACAGCTTTATGAGTCTCTGGAGATATCATGTTTAACGTCAAATGGAATGCCTGAAGAGGAAATCAAAGTTGCCATTAGTGAACAAACTATGTGCACCATTATCAAACTTTTCCATGTTACATAGACCACACGTTATGCATTTTCATCTCCCGGAATGATTATCAATAAATTATTTCGAGTTTGTTGGAAGCACTTTATAGCACCAACTATAGATTTGGTTCCCAACAGCATGCCGCAATACAGTGCAGAAGATGCTGAGATCAGTTGACCAGAAAAACAGGGTAATTTGATAAAGACTCCTTGAAGGAAGACCATGCAGTTGGGCAGACTATAGGCCATTGCTGTTTTTGGCCAAAGTCCAACAGGTGGCCCCGTGATGAGGTGAACAAATAGAAAGACCCTCCGGACAATTTTTTATATTTTAGGGTTTTAAAAAAAATATATAAAATAGGGTATTTTCGTTACTGAAAAAGAACAGAAGTTAAAGATTTAGAAGTTAAAACACATACCACAAATCTGTCCAACACGGGTACTAGGATAGCCAGGCTGCGATCTGGGAGACAGTCAGCAATCGCATCACGTATGCTCTTACTGAGGACATCAAAGAAATTTTGCATTGAGGATATGTCAAAGAAGCTTGATACACAGAAAGAGAGAAAACAAACCAACCTTTCAGTTGAAAGGAAAGCTAGAAGAAGGGCAGAATAAGCTTCCACTATCATTTTCTCCGCTTCTTGTTCCCCTTGTAATACAGCTGCCTCGTCGTTCTGTACAAAAACAACAAAACCAGAATTGGAAGACTATGATCAGATGTCTAGTAAACGCTAAACTAGCAGAACACCCCAGAACATTGAAAGTAGACGAGACACCCAAAACATAGAAATAACAAAAATATGTAAAAAAAACTGAGAGCCTGTTCGTTACATTTTGCAAAATGGTTTATATTTTTGGAAAGTAGAAACTATCTAGTATGGGCTGATTCTAAGAATACAAATGCTCCACTCTCTGACCTTGGAAAGGAAAAATTCAATTTCTCATTTTTGTTTTGGAAGACAGGCCCTTGTGTTTTCAAGAAATCACAACTAAGACAACGAAGCGGAAATTTTTATAGAAAATAAGAACGTGTCACCCACTGGCAAAATCATTTCTTCTGCACCTCCCTCGCCTGCACCTTGGTTGGCAAGGAAAATAGAGCAGATAAGCAGAATTAGATCCTTGCGGCTCTCCTCTCCAAACCCTTCTGAACTAGGTACATGAACACTAGCTGCTGCAAGCCGTGATCTGGATGGAACACCATTATAAATTAAAAGTGTGACAGTAATAAAATGTGCCAGTATGAATATATAAAAAAAATACAAGAAACTAAGACTGTTTAATCTGCAGCACAGGTACTAGGGTGTCTATAATTATATAGCATCTTTCATTGTCTTAAGTTATTGAGATACAAGTGGCCCAATGATAAAATTAGGACTGGCTTGGAATACAGGGGAAATGTTGAAGATGACAAAATATAACAGAGTTTGGTGTTTTCTTCCCTACAATATATTTTCTACCCTCCCAAGGACTCCATTTCATTGGACCAACCATGGTAATGGGTTCTCTATGTTGATATGAACAGACAGGGAAAACAATTAAAATGCTCACTCTCCAAAATGTAAAGGAAGGTTGGTTGTTAAGGGGGAATAGAGTACAAGGGTAACAATGTATTATTCCAATAACAAAAGCTTGAAGAACGAAATGCATAAACAGCTGGACAAAAATGGAGAACTCCAAGTTACCTGTTTTGACCATCTTTCTCAACCAAGTTCACAAGCAGGCCCAAAATAGCAACAAGAAAGTCTAGCTCTTGATCAGTAAGATGTCTATTATTCTGATGGCCAAGTTCAACGCTTGAAGTATTCTCACTTCTCTCACTGGAGGGAGATGATAATGAGCTGAACAAAGGGAAGTGGTTGGCAATCAAAGAAGACAAGGTCTCCAGTCCTCCATTGGCAGCAATTTGCTGGCAGCCAACAGGATTATCATTTGCCAAGTTCATCAGAACCTGCCAAGAAAGACATTTATGAGTTTATACAGTTCAACGGCTTCACCTGTAAGAAGAATCTAGATGGGGTTGCAATTAATGGAAACAGCATTCTTCTATTATTCAAACACCTGATGAGTATTAATAAACATAAAAGTTACACTGAGAATAATTGAATAAGTCATTGTTGAGAGCTAAAATTAAATCATGCGAACAGTAAACAGTAACCAAAGATATATCTTAAGGTTCAGAGAAAGGGACCCTACACCTACATATCATCCAACACAAAGCATCTAGCAATTGTTTTTTTGAGAAACAGAATTTTATTATAGTAGGAAAACTAATTACAAAGAGTGGATAAGGAATTCACAATCTGAAGAGAAAAGAGAAAATACAATAAAAGACCACTCAAATAATGGTAAGTCAGAAAAGACTCAAAATTTGAAATATCTAGTCTCACTTCACAGCTGCTAACAAATCCAACTTTATAGAAGAATGACAATAATCTCTAAAATCAGCATAAAAACCAATGCCCATAAGCTGCCCAGAACCTCACCCCTAAAGAGGTTTAAAATATCGGATTGTGGAATTACCTTGACAGCAGTAAGAAGGCAGTCCGCTAGAAGACCGGAACCTTCTCTACCAACAGCCCCTGAATAGGATGTCTCATGCGCCTGATGGTTTTCTCCATTACTTGATGCTTCTTGGCTCATAATCAGCTGCAAAGTGTTATCAAGTTCTCTGTATGCTGCCTCATTCTGTTGCGATAGAGATATCTTTTTCTTGCCAGATAATAGGTCCCACTTGGAAGGTTTAAAATCATCTTCATCAAATGCAAAAGGATCTTGACTCTCCTGTGAAAGATCAATTTTGGAGTCTTCAGAAACATACGATCTTTGACTGAGACCAGAACGTTTCCTGGAATCATCATAGCTAAATGCAAAAGGATCTTGACTCTCAGAAAAATCAATTTTGGAGTCTTCAGAAATATAGGATCTCTGACTGAGACCAGCATCCTTCCTAGAAGCACAGCTAAATGTACAGGTTCCACCATTTAAATGCCTTGATGTACCACTGGATGAACCATATCTGGAAGAATTGAGTCCCGTCTTCACTGAATAAGTATCAGTCATGGAGGTGCTGGTAGTTTCCGAACTGGATATAGAATATACAGAGCGAGCAGTGGGCAAAAATTGGCTGCTCTGACATACATCGGAGCTCTTTTCAGAAGCATTTTTACTCCCATTAGAAAGATTTAAAGACTTTTCATCATTGGAGGCAGAAGAGAAATTTTTATGTAGATAAAGACCTAGGAAACAATGCATTAATTATTAGAAAGCCATAAAGAGTAAGAATCATCAGTAACTCCAGAGATTATAAGTTACCTGATAGAATATTGATGGCACTTATAACAAGTTCTGTAAAAGACATGGGATTTCCTGCAGGATCCAAGTGTCGTTTCATTCCTAGCAAATGGCTCTGTTAAGAAAGCATGGATGCGAAGATTTTATTTCCACTTTCAATAGTTATTAATAATAATAACCCAACATCATAATTCAGTATCAGTTTGAGTTTGTATGCAGTGTGAATTTTACAAACTAAAGAGACAGAAAAATAATTCATTTTATATGAGAGAGAGAGAGATAGAGAGAGAGAGAGAGAGAGAGAGAGTGTGTGTGTGTGTGACCCACTGACCCTAAATCACATCTAAACATACCTGATTCTCTTTACTCAGGAACGTGGCGTTTTCCATAATCTTCAAACATTTCAAAAGCAGAACCAGGCTCCGCACCATGTCGATTTCCTTTTCCCATACAGAAGGCGAGCTATCTTTTAACCAACCCTGCACGTTAATTACATGCACTTAAAAAAATATACATTTTCTCAACTAACAATTGAGTACCATAAACCCCAGGGTTTGAATGGAAAACCAAGAGAGGATACAGGGGAAACAATTATTTAATGACTACTTTGTTTGGTTACCAACTTATCACAACTCAAAACGCATGATGCACATGTAATAAGGAAAGAAAAAACAAAACTTCAAAAGTAGATATTGAATTGATAAAGCAGTGAATGAACAGTAATGTCATTAGCATACATAACTACTCAAGAAAATCAGGAACGATGATGAACAACAAATAAGCTGATGCTAACGGAGGGCAAATAGATACTGTTCATTATTACTGTAAAGATACTAATCTGGTGTCATAGTTCATCAATAAACTAAAGAAATATATACGTGAAAGAACACTAGAAACTTGCATCTCTATTAAACTGGATGGAGTAAGGCTGCATAGTGTTATTGCCGTTCTTTCCCATTACATGCATTATTTCTTCACAGAAATTTATGATTTACATAGAGAACCACAACTTCTCATATAAATTATTATTGAAGCAGGACTAGTAAGTATCTCTCAGAACTTTTTGAAGTATTATGGCCCCTTGGTATTTTTTCCAATATAATGAAACAGACAATGAGATCAAACAAACATACAGGCTCACACCTCCATATCGGAATGGCAACTCACGGAAACCTCAAAGACAGCATCAAGACCTCCAAGCTCTCGTAATTTTTCCTTAAAGTTGCTCCCAGACTTCCTTACTGTACCAGAGGTTTCTGAAAGCACAGTCCAATTAAGAAATGAACCAATCAGGGACAAATAAAATGGGAAAGCAAAAATAGTGCAAATGTAAAGATAAAGAAACACATGATAATTACCGACATATCCCAAAGGGTTAAGAAAGAACAATTTGAAAATTTAACGCATAGTCATCGGGAATATCAGAATGTTGCAACTGTACCCTCTACATTGCATATACTAGACTGCACAGTGGATAGTGAACAAAATTGAAAAGCAGTTTATTTAATGATTTGCACTATCCAAAACTCCAGCTAAAAGTTTGACAAGAACTTAACCAAGAAACATCACAGAATTTGAAGTTCTTACTTATAAATTACTTTGCTCTTTACAACCAATAGGAAACATCAATCTCATGCCTAGATTTCTCGTTCACAAACAATCTAACTAATGCTTGACATCCAGACTTAATAAAATGTAACAATGTGTATCATAATCAGAAAACCATCAGCTGCAACACAGACCCAGACCTTCAAGAGAAATAGTGGATAAGCAAGCTTTCTCCATAGTCAGCAAAGCTATCCATTTTGGGCATAACTCTGGCTTTCCCATTTCACCATCATCCGCGCAACTTGGTTTCAATTCCTTGCAACCTACAAGAATTTCTTGAACTTTGGAAAAGATAGCAGCAGAGCTGGAGTCTAATCTTTTCGTTGTACATTGCGAGATGTCAGCACCCATACGCAATGCTAGAAGCTTCCGTCCAATTTTAGGTGCTTTATCTTCGGTAGTGTTTGAGACAATTGGTTTGCAAAACCTAATCAAAAAATTCATAGAGCTCAGTGATTCCAGAAGGTGATCATCCTGACCCTGCAATAGTAAGAGGTGACAAACCTTTAGGATCATTATTAAGAGAAAAAGAAACTTCATTGATGCAAATATACTTTTGAAGCATCACAGCAGACACGAGTCGTACCAGGATGCACCATAAAACAAGCCAAAAGAACTCAAAAGATCATATTAGAATCATCACTTGTCAAGAAACTAAGTGACTTACATCGCTTGTCAAAACATAGAAAATAGTTGTGGCAGCCAGATTGCTGGGTGAATCATCAAAGCTGAGACCCAATATAGCCTCAATTATTGTTTTTGCCATCCTGAAAACAAGGCACTTCAGATCAATGTATTCCCCAAAAATGAAACAGCAATTTGGATAGAGAAGGACTTTGCAAAAACTTGTGAACGACAATTTCTAGTAGGCACTCACTACGTAGTTTCTAGATTATTGGAGTAAACAGTCCCTAAATGATATGCCAAAACACCTGATACTTTGAGATGATAAAAATTAGCAATCAAATATAATTTTCTAATACATTATCATGTGACCCTAGATACATTCAACACAGCAAGTCATTCACACACTCGGTAAGCAAATTTCAAATAAATTCTACGCATCTCTAACCGCACATCTCCAAAACCTCATTTTAAACTCAAAACCCAATCAAGATGGACTTAAAATACACAGACACATATCTGCAAGTCACATGCCTATCAAGAACTACTTCAAATTCGCACACCCCACGTATCCAAAAATCAAATATCCATCAAGAACGACTGAAACTAACATTACCATTACCCATCAAGAAATTCTTGACATTTGACATAACCCCATTTCCAAAATCGAATTTTTTTAATCCAAGAACCCATCCAAAAGTAGTTAAATCAACCTAACCTACCCCTGCGTCCTGAGAAGCCGTCTCTGCTGAGCCGTGCCACAGATAGACAACAAGGACAACAAGCTAGCCCTTCTGATCCGAACTGGCTGACCCTTCCTAAGCCCATCCAAAGCGAAATTGACCTCGTCCACATGCTCCATCATCTCCCCAAATTCCTGTGCCTCCATCAAAGTCGACGTCGCGAGAATTGACGGCGGCCTGGAGTTCTTGACCACCTCCTTTCGAGTCTTGGCTTTCTTGGACCTCCTAACGGCGCCGTTTACCGGACCGTCGAAAGAGGAGCGCTTCAAAGAGTCCTCGGGGACGTAGGGGTCCGAATCAAAGTGGGCCCACTGGGAAGAAGAGTCTTGAGATGAGAAATTGAGACTGCTGTAGAGGTGGTCTTGGGAGCTTTCTTGAGGTTGAGACAGAGAAAATCCGAAGGGGTCGTTGGTGTCGTCGTCGTCGTGAACGGCGTCGTTTAACGTTGAGTCGGAATAAGTTCTAGGAATGCCTCCCTTGCGACGACCGTACGTTCTCACGATCATCTTCGTTTATACGGCGGCGTTTCGGCTGCTTCTGCTGTATCAGTTAGGGATGAGCATGTTTGGACGAAAAAAGAAAAGGGCTTTCGGGGAATCAAAAAGATTTGAAATTGAAGGACGGAATTGGAAAACGAAAGATTTGAGCTGGAGCTAGAGCTATGGCCAGGTCTCTGAAACTCTCAGCTCAAGAAGAAGGAGAAGGAGGTCTTAAGACAAATTGATGAGAGAGATACAGAAAGGTTTTTTGGGTTTGAGACTGAAAGGTTTTGGTGGCTTCGATTTGATTTGGTTTTGAAAGGCTTTGGGCTGCCGTAGTTTGTGAAATTCTGTGCCCTTTTCTTCTTTTGCCCAATCACTCTTTTCTTGCTTGTATCTATTCGAGGGTATTTGTGTCTTTTTCGGAAGTTTGGGTCATTTCGAATTCGGATCCTGCTGCTCGTGGGTAGATCGCCTCGAGGGGTTACTATAAACTGGCGAAAGCACCAACCACAGGTGGCTTACTTGAGTCTTTTTAAGGTTTAAACATAAACGACAATTGTTTCTAGTCCTTTATAATTTATTAAACAAGTAATACGACATCATCCATTTACTAAACAGGTCATTCTACTTAGGAGTGGTTGCGGTTCGGTAATTGCAAAATTTTACCCAAACTTCAAACCGACCGACTATTTGCGATATGGTGATTTTTGAAACCGCAAACCAACTCCCAAACCCTTGTGTCATAAAAATCCAATCTTCCACATTTTATGCCTAATTTTGATGCTTCTTTTGAAGCATTTTGAGTTCAAGCATACTTTAACCAAAAAATATAAATTCACAACATAAATAAATAAATTCATAATCTCAACTTCTCAAGCATATATAAATTCACAACTTCCTCAACTTCTCAAGCATTCACAACCTAAAGAAAATTAAAGTTACAATTTCAAACATTCCAATTAAAGTTAAACTTCTCAAGCATTCACAACCTCAACTTCTCAAGCATTCAAATTCCAAATCCTTTAAAGTTACAAACCAAAAGGAAAATGCAATGCAAAATGAATTGAAGTTACAACCCAAAGGAAAAATCAAATTCAAAGTTAATTAAAGTTACAAATTAAAAGGAAATTGCAATGCACTAATATTACAAACTCAAGTGTCAGTAGTGGTGAGTGGATTTAAAGGACTCCGTTGTGTTGTTTGAGCACCAATGCTATCTACAAAATCCATTTTATTTTTTTTAAATATAGTCGCGGTTTGCGGTAACCATAAGTTTTGAAAATCAAATACCACAACTGCAAATGAGGTTCGGTTCTTCATACCGCAAATGCGGTTCGGTTTCCCACGATTGCGGTTCCATTGTAGTAAATTGTTGGTTGATTTTTGCGGTTTTTCGGTCTAAAATGTCGCCCCTAATTCTACTACTCACTTAAGCCATCTCCGGGTGGGAAGGGTAACATTTAGCCCTCTAAAAATTAATTTTGGAAGAGAAATTTATTTTGAGATAGGATTTTTGACATCCACGGGTCAACATATAATTAGCCCTATAGATTTATGATTAGATTTTTTCTTGTTCTAAAAATAACTTTAAAATTAATTTAAATGGAAAAAGATGAAGGAAAGTTTGCAAAAGAATGAAGAGATTGTGAGAAATTATGTAAAAAGATGAAATTGAGGGAAGGATAATATGTAAAATGATGAAGATGTTGTGAGAATTTATGTAAGAATAGGTAGGTATTTATACAAACAAAATTATGAATTTTTTATAATTTTTTTCAGATTTTTTTTAATTTTAAAAAAAAAACTGGCTAATGTCGCCTAACCTTTAGGTGATGTAAGCAGGGCCCCATCTAAACAATACATATTAGTAGATTGTATGAGTGTTGTACCATAGTTTTTCTCACAATACTAAAATATAGAGGGCTCTAAAATATAGTCAAGCATAGTTGGAAATTGAAAAATTTAGCCCTACGCTGTTCTTTAAAAAATTAATATTTTGGAGGGATAACTTTATAGCCATCGACTATATTTAGCATATAACTAGAGATGACCTAACATATTAAGTTGATTCTTTTGTTTAATTTTAATGAACAATTTCTTTTTAGAAAAAAAAGGACAATATTTTTCACATCATCTCATAATTTATGCGACCTATCTTACTGATGGCCTGTGCCTAAATGCGGTTTTAGTAATTGATGGGGATTTGGTTACCATGTTTTTGTTGTTGGTGGTGATGCTACTTACTGTAGTCAATCACAATACAATTTTCTAGCTAGGGGAGATATGGCTCCATCCTAGCATTTGACAATATGGATTCGCATTATCTTACATACAAAACAAGGGCGGGTCTGAGGGTGTGCAAGTGGTGCCACTATACAAGGCCCAAATTTTTTTTACTTGTATATTATGTATATTAATATTATAGGTATTACATATGTATATAAGCGTGCAGGAACATAACACAAATGTGTATTTGGTTTTGTTGGAATTCATCCCCTTGATTTTAGTAGGTAAGTTGGATTCAAGTCCATATTGCGTCATTTAGTAGTTGTATTTTTACATTTGCACTCCTTTTTCTTTTTTTATTGTTAACAACAGAATAAAAAAAAAGAAAAAAAAAAGAGAAAGAAGGAAATACGTCAAAGAAGAGGAAAGCAACATATGCAAGCTTTCTCTAATCAAACAAAAAAAAATTGGAGTGTATATTTTCACCAACTCAAAACAAAACCAAAAAAATGTCTTCTTCCTCTTCTATTTTCTCAAATTCAAACATTAAAACTTTTATGAATGTTATTTATGATTGCTATTGCATGCTAATAGATGATGAATTTTAGTTATTAAAAAAATTATTTTATGGTGTTAAGTCATGGCAAATTTTTTTATAAATATTTTCATATTAGATTGAGAGCTTTCATTTAAGTTTCGTACAGGGCTCTCAAAATCTCAGGATCGGCCCTAATACAAAACTGCCATTTCTTCTTATAAATCAGCACACACACACACACACACATATATATATATATATATGTATGAGCCTTTTTTTTTCAAATGGCAAGTAAATTTGGGGGAAGGAGTTGTGGTGTTTGGGAAGAAAAAATGCAGTAAGAGAATCAATAATTTTAATTTTTTCTTTAATTTTTTGTTGTGAATTAGAACAACTATTGGGCTCAAAATTACAAAGCTTAAGACCCAAAACTTGATTAATCCCTTAAATCCAAGTTTTTTTTTAAATTGAGTTGATAAAACTTTTGTAAGAATTTTATTTTGTGAGTTTTCACTATTATGCCCAATATAGGGATCCAAATTATTATTAAAAAAAAAACTACATGAAATGAACTTTAGAAACATGCCAAAAGTCTATTTACGACATAACAAAGAGACTTCAAACTTCCTATAAATTACAAAACTGTCATCAATTTTTTAAAACAAGCCAACCCCCAAAACCTCTTTTAAAAAAAACCCCGAACACCCAACATGACATCTAAGTAATTTAATAATAAAAATTAAATTCAATGGACCAGCTGTCCTTTTTTGAGTTTATTTATAAAAATTAAATAGTGTATGATTTATTTATATCACTAGTGCTAAGAATTAAATACCTGTTTTATTTGTTTTTCTTCAATGGACTAAACATAAACTCATAGAGGCTCCTAGTCCTAGCTTTCCATGATCCAATCCATTTGTTGCTTCGGTTACCAATTGAAGCCCTTTTCGATTGGGCTAGCTGCAGAAAGATATATGGCCCAGTCCATATCGTTTAATTTTGTTTTTCTTCATTTTTTACGAAATAAAAATAAGTTCAACAGGTTGATAATTGCTAGGGTGGGTAAGGTTGACCAGCTTATTTAACCAATAAGTTCAAAGTCATATTTATTATTTTTATTAAATAAATAACAATTTAGTGGTTGGCTGGTACGTGTAGAACCAATTGCATTGAGGGAAATCCCAGGATAATTTAAAAATATACGTTTTGCATTTGCAGTTTAATTATCTATAAAATAATTTAACATAGCATCAACAAAATGAACTAACCAGTACAATTTTTTTATTTATTTTTTGCCATCGAATTTTTTGTTTATGTTGTAGAAGGTGGGGTTGGGTTGAAGGTTAGGTGGACCATGATAAGTTCGTGATCGCATTGATTTCAAACACTATTATGCATACTTGTTTTCTCGGTACAAACTCAAATTCTGCGTACATTTCCTTCGCTGCACTGCAATTCATTCGTCTTTAGAGTCAATTAGATACGCATGGATACTTATGAGGAGAAACTGATCATTCGAGATAATAATAAAGAAAGAAACAACTACTCTTACCACATTTGTATAACACATTCTCATACCATATTATGTGGCAGATGAGATGAACAACCATATTAATTAAAATTATTCAATATTTTATTTTATTTTATGATTTATTAATGCTAAAAAAAATGTTAATTAAACTTTCTTTATTAAAATACACTTCATTGATTTAATTGATGTGACATATTATATGGACATGCTACATCATGTGATATAGAAATGTGAGATAAAAATGTGGTAAGTGTAACATTACTCTTCTTTTTATGTTGATTTAAAAAGTATAATTTAATAATAGAGTAATGTTATACTCACCACATATTTATCCAACATTTCTATACTACATGATGTGACATGTTTATGAATAATGCTACTCTTACCACATTTGTATACCACATCTTTATACCATCTTATGTGGCAGCTGAGATGGACAGCCACATCAATTAAAATTATTTGATATTTTCTTTTATTTTATGATTTATTCAAGTATTTGTTTTTCTAATTGCCTTAATTAAAATACACTTCATTGATTTAATTGATGTGACATATAATATGGATATGCCACATCATGTAGTATAGAAATGTGGGATAAAAATGTGGTAAGTGTAGCATTACTCCATGTTTATATTATACGTCACATCAATTAAATCATTTTAATTAAGAAAATTAGAAAAATAAATACTTGAATAAATCATAAAAGAAAATAAATAAATAAATAATTTTAATTGATGTAGCTGTCCACCTCAACTGCCACATAAGATGATATATGGGTGTGATATATAAATGTGATAAGAGTAGCATTATTCTTAATAATAATAATAGAAAAAACATTCAATGCACAATTTAAAAAGTAAGTGTAGCATTACTCTTCGAACCGTAATAAATTAATACATTCAATATCGCAATTTATTTTGGTGGACGAGGTTTCGTCAAAAATAGTTTTTACCAAATTTGTAACGCTTCCACACTACGCGTACACTACAATTGTATATAGTAAAAATGGCAAAAGTGTAAATCTCCGTGCGGGCGGGGGCAGTCAAAGATTGAGAATCTAAAAC